GAAGCTTGAGGAAAGAACATTGGAATAGATGTGACAGGGCCCCAGGATGTGACAAAAAAGACTGTCCAAAACCTATCAGGGCCAGCATAGGGGGCCCAGCATGGAGTCAGTGTCTCAGATGAGGAATCCTGGGGGAACTCCTTGAGTGTACTGGGGAGAGGTGCTGGGGGTAGTATCAGGGAGGTGGCTGTTAAGATGGGAACTAGGGCAGCCCGGTGGCTCAGCGGTTTAGTGCCACCTTCAGCCCAGGGCCTGATCCTGGAGACCCAGGATTGAGTCCCACTCCAGGCTTCCTGGGTGGAGCCTGCTTCTCCCTCTGCCTGTGTCTCTACCTCTCTCTCTCTCTGTGTGTCCCTCATGAGTAAATAAATAAAATCTTAAAAAAAAAAAAAAAAGATGGGAACTAGAGGTCTGGATCACACACCCAGAACTTGTACCATAGTCAACTGCCCACCTGCTTGTTATTGCAGGGTTTGGTGACCTTTGATAACATTGCTGTGGCTTTTCTCAGGAAGAATAGGGGCCCTTGAGAGGCCAGAGGGGCCTGTTCCATAATGTGATTCTAAGGACATTCTTGGGTTCCCTGTGGGGGTGTTTTTGGACTTGAGGTGGGCATCAGGCTTTGCTTGCTGACCATGGTCTTGTTGGTAAATGTGTTTCACTCCAGTGGGTCCCTGTTGAGTCCATTGGGACCAAGGCCCTTCTGGATCTGGCTGAGAGACAGGCAGAGGGAGAAGCGGGCTCCACACAGGGAGCCCGACGTGGGACTCCATCCGGCCTCCAGGATCACGCCCTGGGCTGCAGGCGGCGCTAAACCGCTGTGCCACCAAGGCTGCCCCATAAAGAACTTAACAAAAAGTCGTAATTATAATCTGAAATTAATCCCCCCCCCATAAAACTGTTTTAGGTTCCTCTGCTATCTGAAAATTAAATGTCAGTGAAAAAATACATTTTTGTGGAAAAAGAAAGTCAAAAGAGGAAGTAGATGCAGTGCAGAAGTAAGAGGTTGAAGTGATATGAGGAAGGAAGAGCCAAGGAATGCATGCTTCCTCAACAAGCTGGAAAAGGTAATGAACAGATTCTCTCCTAAAGCCTCAGAAGAAACCAGCTGTGTAACACTTTGGTTTTAGCCCAGCTAGGTTAATTTCACACTTCTAGCCTTTAGAATTGGAAGAGTAAAGTTGTGTGGTTTTAAACCACTTGGTTTATGGTAATTTGTTACAACAGCAATAGGAAACTAGTACATTCCCTGTGTAGCTCACAGATCCTGAAATGCAGGATTTTAGAAGTGGATGGGCACTTGTTTCCTCTGGGGATTTGGAGCCTTGGTGTTATCAGCTTTCCATCCACTTTGGCAAGCCTATCACTAGACTGAGGCCTGAGAGAATCCCATTTGCAGATAGGCTAGTGGGAGAAGCTGCCTCTTCTTTGCATGCACCTATCTTGTGGATTAATCTCTGGGCAGACACCCCTGTGCTGTGGCCTGGCTGGGTTCCCTTCTCACCCAAATATCAGTCTCTTTGCTCTTCTCTGGAGCCCTAGAATCATTTCTGGGTGTGCCCGACACACAGATGTGAAGAAGTACCCAACCCACACCAAGATCATTGTAAGGCACAGAATGGAGGAGGGAGTGCCATCTGAGCAGAGTGTAACTGTACCACATAGAGAATGGAGAGACCAGAGCCTAGAAGGCAAGGCCACTGCTTGCAATACCTATAGAGGCTCAGCTCATGTCTACAATGGCCAAGGTCACTGAGCAAATAAAGTTGTCCTGCATCATGTGCTCTTCTCCGTTATTTTCCTGATAGTAATCATCTCTCCAACAGAAACCAGGGAGTTTTCTATTGGGGAGGCTGGGTTCCTGGTGACCTTAGCAGATGTGGCCTTCATGGCTGATCAGTCTTAGGCCAAAGAAGCATGGTTGCCCCAACCCAGAAGTGGAGAAGAGAAGCAGGAAATTTTAACATGGTTGCCAAATCTGGCGTGTGTGTGTGTGTGTGTGTGTGTGTGTGTGTGTGTGTGTGTTTTCTAGAGAACCTGGAGTGTCAGATATCTTTGTGGCTTTCATAATTTTGGCATCTATTTAATAGCTGTGTGAGTTTTGGGTGGTAGGCAGAATCATGGTCCCCTGAAGATGTCCACATCCTAATCTCTAGAACCAGTTAATATGTTACTTCCTATGGTGACTTTACAGATGTGACTAAGTTAAGGATCATGAAATGGGAAGGTTATCTAGGATTATCTAGATGAGTCCAGTATAATCACATAAGTACCTAAAAGAAAGAAACACAATATAAATTATTTTTAAAATTCATAGTTCTGCATGTCAGAAGTCTGACATTTGTGTCAACTGCTATAAAATCAAGGTGTAGTCACTGCTACATTCCTTTTGGAGGTTCTGGGGTAGAATATGTTCCCTGGCCTATTTCAGGCTCTAGAGGCTTCAATATGCTTTAGTTCATGGCTTTCCATCTTCAAAAGCAGCAATGGCAACTTGAGTCTTTCTCATATTGCAGCACTGTTGACTCTCAATCAGTACTGCCTTCCTGTTCCACTTTTCAAAAAGATTTTATTTATTTATTCTAGAGAAAGTGACAGAGTGTATGAGTGCAAGTGGGGAGAGGGGTGGAAGAGCAGAGAGGGAGGGAGAGGGAGAGAGAATCTCCAGCAGACTCCATGCTGAGCATGGAGCTTGATTGCATGACCACAGGATCATGACCTGAGCTGAAACCAAGAGTTGGATGCTCAATCAGCTTAGTAACCCAGGTGGTCTCATCCCTGTTCCACTTTTAAGGACCTTTGCTATTACATTGTCTGCCCACCCACCACCTCAGATAATCTAGAATAATCTCCACATCTTAAAGTCAGGTGATTTTCAACTTAATTCCATCTACCTTAAATGGTTCCGCCTTGCCATGTAATATAACATATTTACATGTTTTGGAGATTAAGACCTGGATATCTTTCCAGACATCTTTGGGGTCATTATATTCTGCCTACCACAGTACAAGAATATACTTTAAAAAAAATTGAAAAAAAAAAAAGAAAAAGAAAAAAAATAAAAATAAAAAAAATAAAAAAAAATTGAACATTGCCTATATGGCTACTTGCTAAATCAAAGATGAGTGCATTTTATATTTTTAATAGATGTCAATGATAATTTTCTAGGGAGGTGTTTCCAATTTCTCCTCCCCTGGCAGTGCTGTGAGAGCCTTGGGACGATGATGATAATGATAATGATAAGAACAATAACAATTACTCTCATTTATTTAGTAGTGTTTATTATTATTATTATTTAGTAGTGTTAACCTTAAAAATGAAACGGTTACCTTACCAGCAAAAATGGATTTACTTGGGCATAGCAGAGAATTGCAATTCTTTTTTTTAAGATTTTCTTTATTCAGGGACGCTTTGGTGGCTTAGCAGTTGAGCATCTGCCTTCAGCTCAGGTGTGATCCTGGGATCTAGGATGGATTCCTGCATTGGGCTCCCTGTGAGGAGCCTCCTTCTTCCTCTGCCTGTGTCTCTGCCTCTCTCTCTCTCTCTGTGTCTCTCTCTTGAGAGAGGCAGAGACACAGGCAGAGGGAGAAGCAGGCTCCATGCCGGGAGCCCATGCGGGATTCGATTCCGTGTCTCCAGGATCACGACCTGGGCCGAAGGCAGCGCTAAACCGCTGAGCCACCCGAGCTGCCAATAAAGATTTTTAGAAAATATTAAAAAACAAAAAAGATTTTCTTCATTCATTAATGAAGAAAAGGAGGAAGTTAGAGGGGCTGTTTTGAAAAAAGTCTATTGGAGAAGAGTTCAGGGTGATGACGATTTCTCATTGGCTGAGTTGCAGGATCCATTCATTTCTTGTAGGAGATGCAATGTACATTTTTCCTGTTGGAGGCCTGTAATTGAGGATTCTTTCCTGTTGAAGATTCTTCTGTTCATAATTTTTTTTTTGTAGGTAGCAAAGCAAAGTATTGGGCAATAGTACAAAGTGCCCCAAGAGGGAAGGAGCCCCAAGAAGGTTGCTTTCTGTTGGTAATTCTTGACTTCCAGTGGTACCAAGTGAGAGCTCCTGCTTCCACTCCATTTTACTGAGGTTCCCCTTTACTAAGTTTCACAGCACTGTATATCTGGCCCTGTGCTAAACACTTTTCATGTCACTTCTTATGAGGAAAGTTGTAGTGTTTATAAAATTACATCACTGGATTTTGAGTTACAGATGCTTCTGGGTAAGCATCAGAATCCCCAAGAGGGGGGTACCTGGGTGGCTCAGTGGGTTAAGTGTCTGCATTTAGCTCAGGTCATGATCCTGGGGTCCTGGGAATGAGACCCATGTGGGGCTCCCTGCTCAGCTGGGAGCCTGCTTCTCCCTCTTCTCCTGCCCCTCCTCCCTGCTCCTGCACACACTCTCTCCCCCTCTCAAATAAACAAAATCTTAAAAAAAAAAAAAAAGAATCCCCAAGAGGGATTATCAAGTCAGAGAATGTTTAGGCTCATCCCAAGAACTTGCATTTCTAGCAAGTTCCTCAGTGATGCTGATGCTGCTGCTGCTGATTCACGAACCACAGTTTAGGGACCACTGAATTAAAGAAACATTTATTGTTATTAAAACTCCCCATGAAGGAGGTATTATCTTCATTTTACATCCTAGGAAAATGCAAAAATGAACCTGTTCCCCCAGGGGTCCCTTCAGGGCTGGTCCTTCCACTCCAGAATGCGGTTCCCTGCATCTCTGGAGGAAGAAATATGGAGTGGCCCCTTTAAGAGGAAGCTGAAACATAAACATACAGTTGGCATACTTAAGCACTATTCCATTTCCGAGGGCTCCTTGCGTTGCCACTTGGGCGTTGCCTAGGAGAAGTCGCCGGCGCCTCGCGCCGGACCTCGGCAAGAACTACATTGACCAGAAGGCCACGGGAGATGGCAGTGAACTATAAGCCAATCACAGCACAGAAGAAGAGCTATTTCCTGAGGCTCATGGGACTTCCGGCGTCTCCGTCGTGGAAGTTCGTTTGCTTTTGGCTGGTAGTTGCACAGCGCTCTCGGGGATATGAGCTCTCGGTCGGAGCTGCTCTCCAGGCCCCTCCTTGGGACCCAGACAGAGAGGACAGTGAAGAGGATGGGTTCAACTGCTGCGCTTCGTACCAGTCGTGATCTCCTGTAACAGGGCTATCCTTTTCTTCCGCACTCGCCCTCCGTCCCCTGTGACTGAGGCCCCGATTGCGACGGGTGGCGGGCGGGCACCTGGCCGAGTGGAGGTGTGGGGATCGGCTGAGCATTCAGGGCCTGCCCGGGTCCGGTGGCGGCGGCGATGGCGCTGGTGGACCCGGCGCGGGTGAGTGGAGGGCGTCCGCCGCCCTCACTCACCGGACCCCGGGCCCATGATAGAGGGGAGTGGGGACTCCCTGGACTCTTTTCCTCCACCTTCATTTCTCTTCCTTTGCTTCTGGGACCCTAGGATCACACCAAGCCCGGGGTCCAGAGTCCTTGCCAGGGGTTTTGAGGAAAGTTTCACCATTCTGGAATCCAGTGGGACAAGATGTGGGAAGCTCTTTCAGGCATAGGAACCAGGATGTGCAAATCCTTATAGAGATGAAGCTGAGCTGGGAGTATCCAGGGAACTATAGGTCTTCTTTATGTCTGGTGGGCAGGAGTCAGGCCTGGAATGGCAGCCTGGGCAGCTTGGCCTGTAATCTGAGACTAGTGGGAACTAGTGGAAGGAAGGTGTGCGGTAGAGGAGAAATGTGATCTGACACAGGTGTTCACTGGCTCCCTTTGGCTGCAGAGTGGAAAACAGAGGTGGGGTTGGGGGTGGGTGAGGCTTAGGGAGCAGAAAGGGAAGCCCATAAGGATGCTCTTTACTAGATCAGGTGGGTGATGGTGTCTTGGCCTGAGTGGTGACTGGAGTTGGGAGAAGTGGTTGGATTTTGGATCTTTCTTTTAGGCCAGCCAGATTTTATGATGTGCAGAAAAGTGGAGGAGGCTGGGATAATCCCCATGGATTTTGGCCTCAACTAGGAGAAGGTAGAATTGAAATACGTTGATTGAGATGGGGAGGTTGCTGGGTGCAGCAGGTTTCAGGGAAGATCGGAAGGCAGATTTTTTACCCTGTCGAGGCTGAGATGTCCTAAAGACTTCCAGGTCATCTGGACACTGAATGTCTGATTATACTGAGGAATTCAACTTGGGGACATCCAGTTAGCAGTCAGCCTGTGAACTGAGGTAGAGCTCTGGCTCAGATTTGGGAGGGGGCATCTCTAGCTTATGGTGAAAGATGTCCCACAGGAGCAGCTGAGGACTGGGTGACTGGCCTGGGTACCTAGGCAGGGTTGGTGGGTGTCACAAAGTCAGATGAGGGGAGGAGCAGCCATGAGAGAAGGTGTGTGTATGAGAGGATCCAGAACGTGACCAAGATCCCTGGGACAGGCTGAAGCATATTGGAGATGCAAGCAACATGACAGTGGGAATAGGGCTGATGTTTATTTACTTTTCTATGGACTCACCAGCATTTCTTGGCCATCCTCTGTGGGACCTGAGGGTTTTAGTCAGGATAGCAGATTAGCTCAATGGTAATCACCTGGGGGTATCCCATGCCTGGGGTGGGAGGTGGTGGGGCCGGGCTTTGAATGTGCATTATGAGGAGAGAGGAATACTGTGGATGGTGAGGGGACAGAATCAATAAAGGCAGGGAGACCTGGAGGTCCCAGAGGTCTTTGTGGCCCAGTCTGGATGGCTAAGGGATAAAGGTAGGAATAGGATCAGTTAGAGAAACTCAAGGAAGAGGCTGGATCCCACCTCTGGAGGTTGGGACATTTGGAAGTCTGGGTCAGGATGAGATCCTGATTGACCTCACCAAGTGAGCCACATTCTGGACACCATTTGCAGAGTGATATGTAGGGTGAGTGGGAGGAAGATGTGCCATGGATGTTGGTGGGGTCTGGAAATGTGTGGTACAAAGATGGACGTGCACATGCAGAGGTGGTGTGAATTGATGGACTGGAGTCCTGGTACTGGGGGGCCTATGTGAGATGAGCCCCAGTTTGGTTGTTCTGCGATTCAGGAACTGGGAAGCCAAGGGAATTGCCTGGTAGAGGAAGGAGGCCCCACAACCAGGTCAGAGCTTGTGGCAACTACCTGCCCATCTCCCTGCTGTGTGAAGGAGGACATAGTGATCAGTGACACAAGGAAACAATGGCACCCATGGTATTGGAGCTTCAGGAGAAGGGTGCCCTAGGAGTGTGTTGGCAGGGGTGATTTGGGGGTCAGAGACTACCCACCAGACAGCATGTGGGATCTAGGTCTCGATCGGTTCATCTGTATATTTTTTTGTTAGTTATTCTGCTGTCTTTGGTTTGGCTGACTTAGCTGTCCTCATCATGGCAGGGCTGGGGAACCTTTGAAGATGTGGTTGTGTACTTCTCCTGGGAAGAGTGGGAGCTCCTTGATGAGGCTCAGAGGCACCTGTATTGTGATGTGATGCTTGAGAATTTGGCACTTGTAGCCTCACTGGTTAAGGCCTTTCCACCCCTACCCTCACCCCCAGCCTCAGTTCTAGTCTCTGTCCTTCTTCTTTTCCCAGGAATAGCTCTGTCTTCCTACAGCTGAGCATGGGTGTTGCTTCGTCCTCTGGACTATCTGCTGTGTGTGCAGAGCTGGGGCACAGGCACAGTCTGCTCCTTTCCCTGAGGAGCCCCAATATCTGCTTCTCTTTCTGGGGAAGGGCTCAGGACTGCGGGGTCTCAGGTTGGCTGCCTGAGTTTGTTCAGATCAATGGCACTGCTGTGCCCAGGTTCGTACCCCCTCTTTATATCAGGCATTTCCAGGAGCCTAGCTATGTCACAGACTCTAGACACCAACATGGTTATTACTTGTGGCAACCACTGGGCTCTTCCTGTAAGATACTCCTCAGAGGCTTATTTTATAACATTGAATTTTCTTCCCAGTTGCAAAGAGGACATGAGCTCCCTGTGGTCTGTTGCAGCTTGGATTGCTGTTAGCTGGGCCAGCCACTCACCCACCCTATGTTTTTCCCAGGACTTACAACCTCTAAGTCCTGTGTGGTTGCTCATCTGGAACAGGACAAAGACCCTGGGAGCCTGACAGAGTGGACATGTCTCCATACACTGCAAGAGAGACTGAGAGGGGGTCTGGCTCTGATGAGTGGGAGCCAGAGAAGAGGTGACATTGGGTCTGGGTTCAAGCTGTACCGGGCACTTTCCCTGTTTTCCACTCGTGTTTGTTGCTGGGGCCAGTAGCCATACCTTACTCCACTTTCCTTCCTCATTCTAGACACCACATTCCTGCCATTTCTGCTTTGTCCCTGGATACTGGGTGATGGATGACTCTACTGCTCTGATCTCTGTGTCTTCCTAAGCCCACTCCACACCTCCTTTTACAGGAGTGTCCCACGTTAACCCATAGCCAATGTATTATGAGATGTGCACGTATCTCACGCATACAGGCTTTAAGCATCAGATCCCAGTTACAGCTGGATTTTCCTGGGCTCATGCACACTCCTCTGTGTCCCCTTTTCATATCAGAGATATGGTGCCTGCCTGTGTTGGTTCTTGCTGAAAGCTGAGGAGTTGTAGTCCCTGACCCTTCTCCCAGCCTGAACCCTACACCTGTGTTCTCACATGCTGAATCTTCACCTTCCTAGGCCCACCACAAGCTGTACCTCACCCTGACTTGACCCTACAGACCCATTCCTAAATTTGTCAGATCCACATCTATAAAGGGGCTACCGCCTCCAAACAAAGCCTATATAAACTATACCAACATTTCTCTGCTTTCAGGTTGTTGGTGTGGAGTAGGGGAAGCCCCTCTTGAACAGAGTGTTTCTGTAGAAGGAGTGCTCCAGTTCAGGACCCCGAAGGCGTGTCCTTCTACCCAGAAGGCCAACACCTGTGACATGTGTGGTCTGGTCTTGAAAGACATATTACACTAGCTGAGCATCAAGGAATATACCATAGGCAGAAACCATAAAAGTATGAGGTGTGTGGGAGAGGGTTCTGGCTCAGTACAAACTCTCGCCAGCACCAAATGGAAGACCACAGTGGAGAAAAACTCTTCACATGCAGGGAACATGTTAACGATGTCCTGGACAGCCATGACCTGCAGCATCAGGCCACCCACAGCATGGGGAAGCCACACAGGAGCACCAAGAACAAGGAGGCCTTCCAACACAGCTCTAGCTGCCAGCAGCAGCAGGAAGTCCATGCCACACAGAAGCCCTTCAAGTGCAGCAACTGAGGGAAAGCCTTTCTGGAGGCCTTCATGCTCCTGGACCACCTGATAACTGACTCCAAAGAGAGACCTTTCAGATGCCCCACAGGGGGAAACTTCTCTAAATAGAACTTGACCGTTGTTGATCAGCAAAAAAAATCACACTGGAGAAACATCCCATGTGTGTAAGGAATGTGGGAAGGCCTTCGGGCACCTTTTTAAACTGAGGACACATCAGAAAGTTCATACCAGACAAATGCACCACAGTTGCAGTGAATGTGGGAAAACCTTCACCCGGAAACACTTGTTCAGCACCAGAGTTCACACTAGAGAACGGCCTTAATGAATGTGGCCAGTGTGGGAAGGCCTTCACTCGCAGCTTCCAAGTTGTTCAGCATCAGAAAGTTCACAACACAGAAAGGACTTATGAATGCAGACATGCCAGAGAGTCTTTAGCTGTATTGCCAATTTTGTTGAGCCCCAGAAAATACATATTGGGGAAAGGCCTTATGAATGCAATGAATGGGGGAAAGCCTTCATTAATAGCTCTCCTCTTGTTCAGCATCAGAAAGTTCACAACACAGAAAGGCCTTTTGAATGCAGTGAATGTGGAAATACCTTCCAGCAAACCTCCAAACTTATTCTGCATCAAAGGAGTCAAACAGGAGAAAGGGGTTATAAATGCAACCAGTGTGGGAAAGCCTTCAGTTGCCCCTCCAACCTTGTTCCACACCAGTGAATTCATACTGGAGTGCTTGGAATGTGGGAAAGCCTTCAGGCAAAGCTATGCCCTCATTCAGCACCAGAAGGTTCACACTAGAGGAAGGCCTTATGAGTGCAGTGAATGTGGAAAAGCCTTCAGTTATAACTCTAACCTTGTTAAACATCAGAAAGCTCACACTGGAAAAGGGCCTTATGAGTGCAGCCAGTGTGGGAAAGCTTTCAGTGAAAGCTCCATCCTCAGCACCAGAGAGTTCACACTGGAGAAAAGCCTTATGAGTGTAACAAGTGTGGAAAACCTTTCTGTGGGATCCCTGGGTGGCGCAGCGGTTTGGCGCCTGCCTTTGGCCCAGGGCGCGATCCTGGAGACCCGGGATCGAGTCCCACATCGGGCTCCCGGTGCATGGAGCCTGCTTCTCCCTCTGCCTGTGTCTCTGCCTCTCTCTCTCTGACTATCATAAATAAATAAATAAAAATTTTTAAAAAAGGAGGTTTATAGTTCAAACCTCTCTAAGCACCAGAAAGGTCATACTGAAAAGAGCCATCTGAGTGCAGTGAACATAGGAATGCCATCAGCCAGAGCTCTAGCCTCACTTAGCACCAGAAAAGTCACACCAAAGAAAGGCCTTAGGAGTATGGCAAATGTGGAAAACAACTAACCGGGGCATTCTCCTTATTCATCTTTAAAGGGTTAACTCCTGAGAAAACTTGTGAAAGGAACCTTTGTGAAGAAGCCATAAGCCAAAAATTGGAAAATATCCCAATATCCCTACCAGGAGATGGCCAGAAACATAGGAAGCTTTCAGGAGTTACATCACATTTTGTAATCTCCCCAGGTGCTTTGCCAGATTATGTCACTGTCAGATGCCATCTCACTTCTAGCAGGTGGCAGCCCTCCCCTCCCCGCCCGATAGCCTGTCATCTGCATACTTAGAGAAGGCTGGTCTTGTGCTCTCTCATTCTCTGGAGGGAGACATGAATGATGGTAGCACTTTGGGGTGGCCCCATTTTCCATCTCTGCCCTGTACCCAATTGTTGAGGCATGGCCCTGACCGCTTTCTCTCCAAGAGGATCTGACCAGAGCCTGAGGACTTACACAAGTAGTCCCCCCCCCCCTTTTTAGTTGTTTCCCTTTTTTGTGAGCATTGTTAAGTCTATAGATGGTGCTTGCAAGGATTTGCCCAGGCTCCAAATCACCCTATCCTGAAAATGCCTGTTTCCAGAGTGTGTGATAATAAAGGCCTTACTGTTGAAGCCATCTTTAACTCTAGGACTCCATCCGTTGTGTGTGGAGGGAGATGGGAGAACAGAATTGGGCTCTAACAGGATAAAGAGGGAGAAAGGCCCCTGATGTCCAAAATCTGTAGGTATCATTGGATGTAAGATCTACAGGAGCCAGGTAGAACCATAAGTGGGTACAGAAACACTGGTTTTGAGGTGAGAGACTCAGGGAGATGGGCAAACAAAGGAGATGTGGCTGACTGAAAGCTACCCATGTGATTGTTACTGGATGTACAGTTGAACACAATCCTTGTGAGTGGGTATAATGTCCAGGCATTGTACTGGCTGTATCTCCTCTGTTTGCCAGTCTCCCTGACTCACCTTAAAACCAGTGTTTCTGTACAACAAACTTACTGACGCTGACTTTGACCATAGGAGACACTCAGCTCTGTAGGTATTAGGAAGTCAGTCCTGTATACTCTCATGTTGTGCTCTAGCATGAGTACAATAACCCTTTACAATGGGCATAACCAGCAGTATGCTGCTCACTGCCACAGCAAATAAGCTAATAGTGGTGTGGATTCCTATAGCCTCCCTGTACTGGTCACTTCAATACCATCACTGCATAGGCAGAAACCCTGGGACTATAGTCCAGGACTTTTGTAGCCCAGCCGATATTCCAGGTGAGTGTGGTGTCCATGGCCTTCAACATCTGCTGGTTTTTGCTGCCACTGAGGCAAGGCTGTACCTGGGTATAGGGATCAGAGATCATGGAATAAACATATGGTTGCCTCCATTTTCTGATTTTCCAAGAGGAAGAGCTCCATATGTTTATGTGAAGCCTTTTGATTTTAGAAATGTTGAAAACGTTACAAAATTTATAGGTATATGTGTGGCCTATATATATGGGCCACATGTGTGTTCCTGGTCCAACACTTGCAACTGTCATAAAATAAGCAAACCAAGCTGCCAGGAGCCCAGGGATCCCTAGACATGAAGGTTTTTGGCATAGTGTTTACCCCACAGCATGAAGCAGGGGCAGTGGCACTGCTGTTGCTACTCAACTCAGGATACCCCACTTCCCTAATGCTGATGAGGGATGACAGGATCCTAGGCATGCTTGTGGTCAGCCAAGTATGTGGTAGGTCTGCCTAAGTGCTCCCTATATGCCAAGGTATGTCAAACCCTGTACACCCCGGGTATAATTATTGCCTTCCATTAACATGGGGGGCTTGGAGTTAGAACTAAAGTCCATTTGAACCTTGGGGTCTCAGGCTTCCAAGCAAAGGGATCATGGATCATCAGAAGCTCAATTCCTTGTACTCATGTGGCCAGCTATGGCTAGTCAGACTTCAAAAAGCTGCTCCCAGTGTGCGAATGAAGTCTTTTATCTGCCTTCTACTCTCCTCACCAGGGCTCTGTGCACACCAGCCAACTTAGTGGAACCTCAGTATTTCCCTGGTGGTGCCAGAATGTAGCTAACAAAGGCCTGCTGGTTCTGAGTGATCTTCCCATAGTGCCAATTTCTGTGAAGTATCTAGGGATCCTTGGCTGCTCGGGCTCTCCCTCCTGGGTGTAATGACTGCCTCGCATCAACATGGAAGGGCTGCTTGAGATTAAAGTGTAGCTGAGCTATGTAGAGCTTAGGCCTGCAAGCAAAATAGGGCAGACATTCATCATCAGAACTCAATCCCTTTTATCCTGAATGATCACCTATGTGTGGACTTTGTAAAATGAAGTCTTTTGGCAAAGAATCCTTGATTTGGTAAAATGTCCCTGACCTGAACCTGATTTCTTCTCTCCCCATCAGGGCTCTGTGCAAGGCAGTTGGCCTGCTGTGGGTGTGTGTATACACATGTCTGTATAGCTATGCATATGCGTGTGCATGTGTTTGGAACATCTAAAATAAAGGCATTGTGGCTCTAAGCATCCAAAAATTGGGTCTATTAATGTTCATCTTGACTCTACAGGAAGATTGTCCTATGAACCAGTCACAAAGGAAGGCAATGTTGAGTGATGGTCAGAGTGGCCCTTCTGATCATTTGAGCCACAGAGCCATTTACTGCCTAAAGCCAGATGCCAAGTAGACTTTTGGGTTCCATGTACCAAAATAGGCCAAGTAAATCCAATATGGAAAAGATAATCTCAACCAATAGTCCTGGAACAACTGGATGTAACAACAAACCTCTAAGCTTATCTCAAGTAGTACGCAAAAGTTAACTCAAAATTCATCATAGACATAAGTATAAAACTTACAACAATAATACTTCCAGAAGAAAGCATAGTGACCCTAGATTTGGTGGATTTCTTAAACACAACGAAAAGCATGACAAGAAAAAAATCAATTGGACTTAATCAAAATGTTTAACTTTTGCTTTTCAGTTGTCACTTCAACAAATGTAAATGCAAGTCACAAGCTGGGAACGCTGTCTGCAAAACAAATTTTGACAAGACTTGAATCTAGAGGCACTGGGTGGCTCGGTTGAGCATCTGCCTTCGGCTCAGGTTGTGATCCTGGGTCTTGGGGTCGAGTCCCGCACCAGGCTCCCTACAGGGAGCCTGCCTCTCCCTCTGCCTCCCTCTCTCTGTCTCTCATGAATAAATAAATAAGATCTTAAAAAGAGACTTGAATCTAAAACATATGAAGAATTCTTACAACTTAATAAGACAACCCAATCTTTGGGACGCCTGGGTGGCTCAGTGGTTGAGCATCTGCCTTTGGCTCAGGGCATGATCCTGGGGTCCGAGATCGAATCCCAAACCCGGCTCCTTGCAGGAATCCTGCTTCTCCCTTTGATCTGTGTCTCTGCCTCTGTGTGTGTATGTCTTGTGAATAAATAAAATCTTTCAAAAAAGACAACCCAATTTTTAAAAATGGGCAAAAGTGACTTGAACACTCACTTCATTAAAGATCGATGAATGGCAAATAAGCACATGCTTTCTATGTAAAATGTGGTTTTTTTAAGAATTTATTTTTATTTTGTGTGTATTTTACCACAATTTAAAAAAATCCATTGAGATAACATTTCACACTCACTAGGATGACAACACCAAGTGCTGACAGGAAAGTGAAGAAAACAATCCTACAGCACTAGTGGGAAAATAAAATGGTAGAGACACTTTGGAAAACAGTTTGACTCTAAAGAAATAAACATGAACTTATATGACTCAGCAGTTCCACTCATAGGAATTGTTAGGCAGAAAGACATTCCTCTGTCCTATGGTCCTTATACCTGGATTTAGAATCAAATTGACATGATACAGATTAACAGGAGAAAATAAAATTTATTAGGCATACATACAGGGAATCAACAGATATGAAATTCCAAAGACAGTGAAGCAACATGAAGCTAAGGGTAGAGGACTGAGGATACAAAGGGGTGAAACCTCAGTAGCAAGAAGTTGAAAGGAGAGTTTTGGAAATACAAGCTTTCTCTATTATGTAGATAAATTCCTTAAGTAGAGTCTCTGTTAATAATTCCCATCCTAGTAGTCTCTCCTTTCCAATGAAAATTAGGCAGTTGTGGGGAAGGTAGAGAGCTTCTCCTTAATCTGTTGGGTTTTTATTACTTTTTTTTTTTTCTAAGGAGGCTCCACTCCCAGTGCAGAGCCCAGCTGCCCCATGACCCAAGATCAAAACCTGAGCTGAGCTAAGAGTCAGACGCCTAACTGACTGAGCCACCCAGATGCCCCTTGATTACTTTAACTCAAAATAATCTTTATGTCAAAGTGGCCCATCTTGGAGCAGCCTACCCTTGGCCCCTAAAGAATCTACCCAAGTGAAATGAAAACATATATCTACACAAAGATTTGTAAGCATATGTGCCTAGTAGCATTATTTATAATAGCCAGGAACTGGAAACAATTCAAAATCTACCAATTAATGAATGATAAATAAACTGTGGTATAGCCATACAAAGGAATATTATTCAGCAATAAAATGGAATAAAATATATAAAAATAACATGAATAAACCACTATGCTAAGTGATAGAAATAAGACACAAAGAGCTATATATTATATGATTCCATTTATTTCTAAAGAGATTTATTTATTGACATACACACATACACACAGAGGCAGAGGGAGAAACAGGCTCCCCACAGGGAGCCCGATGAGGGACTTGATCCTGGATCCCAGGATCACGCCCTGAGCCAAAGGCAGATGCCAAACCGCCGAGCCACCCAGGCGTCCCACATATGATTCTATTTATATGAAATATCCAGAAAAGGCAAAAGTGTAATATAGATTGGCGGTTGTCAGGTGCTA